GGGACAGTGGTTGGAACAGTGGGGACAGTGGGACAGCGGTGGGGACCGTGGGGAAAGTGAGGAGAGTGGGACCGTTTTGGGACAACGGTGGGGAGAGTGGGGACAGTGAGACACTGGTGGGGGCACTGGTGGGAACATCAGGGACAATGGTGGGAACAGTGGGGACAGTGGGACAGTGGTAGGGACTGTCGAACCGTGGTGGCAACGGTGCAGTGATGGTGGGGACAGTGGTGTTGGGACAGTGGGACAGTGGTGGGGACAGTGGGACAGTGGTGGGGACAGTGGTGGTGGGGACAGTGGTGAGGACAGTGGCGAGGACAGTGGTGGGACAATAGCATAGTGGGACAGCGGCGGGGACAGTGGGGACAGTGGGACAGTGGTGGGAACAGTTGGGACAGTGGGACAGTGGTGGGGACAGTGGGGAAAGTGGGGAGAGTGGGACCGTTTTGGGACAATGGTGGGGAGAGTGGGGCCAGTGGGACAGCGGTGGGGGCACTGGTGGGGACATCAGGGACAATGGTGGGAACAGTGGGGACAGTGGGACAGTGGTAGGGACCGTGGGGAAAGTGGGGTGAGTGGGACCGTGGTGGGAACAGTGGTGAGGACAGTGGGGACAGTGCGCAGTGGTGGGGGCACTGGTGGGGACATTGGGGACGGTGGTGGGAACAGTGGGGCTGGGGACAGCAGTGGGGGATGTGGTGCGGGCGGTGGTGGGGACCCGGGTGTTGTTTGCCCGCGGTGAGTGGGGGTGGTGGGAAGAGGGGGCTCGAACCGGTAGTGACCCCCCTCCCGTTTTCTGGAGGGGGGGGGGTCGAACTGGTAGTGACCTCCCCCGGTTTTCTGGATGGGGGGGGTTCGAACCGGTAGTGACCCCCCCTCGGTTTTCCGGAGGGGGAGGGGAGGGGGGTTATGGGGGGGGTGTTGCTGGGGGGAAGGGGGTGGTCCAGCAGGAGGGAGGGGGATTTTTGATTTTTGGAGGGGGGAGGGGACCCCCAGGTTCCGGAGGAAGAGGGGGGGAATTTTCCACAGTAAAGCGGCCGTCGATCACGCTCTCTCGATGATGATGATGATGTTGATGCTGCTGATGCTGATGCTGCTGGTGATGATGATGCTGATGATGCTGATGATGTTGATGGTGGTGATGATGATGACGATGACGATGACGAGGACGAGGACGAGGAGGAGGAGGACGACAATGATGGCGTGGATGATGATAGTGTGAGGGGGCGGGGAGGAATGGGGAGCAGGAGGAGGAGGAGGAGGAGGAGGAGGAGGAAACCTGCCCAGATCCTCGCTCTTACCCGCCTCGCTCTTCTGCCTCACTCTCCCCCGCCCTCGCTTGCCATCCATCCTGCCCCGCTCTCTCCTCCGCGCCCCCTTTGCCCCGCCCCTCCGGCCACTCTCCTCCCCCCCTCCCCAGGCCGCTCGACTCGTTCCCCGGGACTCGTGGGGTTCGGGTGCACCGCCTCCCCGTCAACCCACCAGGGGAGCGCTCTGGCGCCAGCACTCCAAGGGCGATCCAGGCGAGGCTGCCAGCGTTCGCGCCCCCTATTGAAGCGCCTAAGAACCTCATCCTTTGTCTCCTCCCTCCTCCTCTCCTCCTCCTCTCTCTACCTCTTCTGCCTCCTCCTCCTCCTCCTCCTCCTCCTCCTCCTCCTCCTCCTCCTCCTCCTCCTCGCCTCCCTCCTCCGTCTCCTCCCCCTCCTCGTCCTCCTCCTCCTCCTGTTTGGCTCGAGCCCCACGCGCGATCCAGCGAGGCACCTCGACCTCGGGCTCCGAGGTCCAAGAGCAGCGAAAAACGTCGGAGCCCGAGGTCGGCCGGAGTCCGTCGCTCTGCGGCAAAGTCGGGCCTCGAGAGGCGGGGGTCAATGCAAGCAGAGGGTCAGCCAGAGCGCCCGATCTTGCAGAATCTTGCAGGGTCAGGGTCGCATTGGCCCGGGCTTGGGCGCAGGATCCTGCAGGATCTTGCAGGATCCTTCGCGTTGACCCGGGTGTGGGTGCAGGGCCTTGCAGGATTCTGCAAGGCCTGACTGACCCAGGTCTGGGTCGACCCGGGTCAGAATGTCCCCAGCAAAAACAGCAGACCTGGGCAGCTCGAGAGGCGGGCGGAAACAAGGAGCCCGCCTGGCCTGCCCCTCCCAGAGGCCGGCCCCCTCAGCCACGCGCAGAGGGCGGCGTGGTGGTGGGGGGGAAAGCTTTCTAGAAGCACCCGCGGGCCTCATCTCGGGCTGACCCAAAAGGGTGTCCAGCGACAAGGGGGCGGTGCAATAGATTTGGTGCGATAGATTTGTGGGGTTGCAATACATTTGCGGCGTGCAATACATTCCGCGGCGCAAATGTATTGCTGGGCTTTCGAATGCAATGCACTACTTGCATTACCGTGCAAGACAGTTCTCCGGCGCAGTACATTTGCAACACATTCCCCCCAAACCTGTTGCACCACCCCCTTTCTCAGCTGGACCCCCTTTTGGGTCAACCAAGTCCTCTGTAGATGTAGGGCTGGCGCCTTCAAAGAAGCAGCCTCCTCCTGAGACGCCCTCCCCCCTCCCCCGCCCTACCCCGCGTGCGCGCCGCACCCCCCCCCCCCCCCCCCGTCACAGGTACTAGGTGTTCGCACTGGGGCAAGAAGCTCGACCGGCTCGCCGTCCGCTGGAGCCCCACCCTTCCCCCGGTGCCTCGTTCCCGGGTCTCTGGGCGGAGTGCGTCGCACCACGGCGGTATTCCTCGATCTTGTCGGGCCCCCCCCCGGGGCTGCATCCGGGCCTCTGTGAGGAGACTATGCCCCTGGGGAAGCTTGCCTATACGACCACCCTTCGGGTGATCAGGAGGTTGTGGGGGGGGTGGAGCGGGGGGGGGGGAACCAACATCTGACTCAATCGACCTCACTATCGATCTTACTCAACGGGACACCACGGGACACCACGGACTTGTCGATCTCACTATCGATCTCACGATCGGTCTCACTCAACGGGACGCCACGGGACACCACGGGACACCACGGGACACCGCGGGACACCTCTCGATCTCTGGTCTCACCATTGATCTCACTATCGATCTCACTCAGCGCTGTCCCGCGGTGTCCCGTGGTGTCCCGTTGAGTGAGATCGATAATGAGATCGATAGTGAGATTGATACTGAGATCGATGTGGTGCCCCGAGGTGACCCGTGGTGTCCCAATACATGAAATCGATAGTGAGATCGATAGTGAGATCCACAGGTGTCCCGTTGTGTCCCGTAGTGTCCCGTTGAGTGAGATCGATAGTGAGATCGATGTGGTGTCCCGAGGTGTCCCGTGGTGTCCCGTGGTGCCCCAATAAGTGAGGTCGATAGTGAGATCGATAGTGAGAACGACAGGCGCCCCGTGGTGTCCCGTGGTGTCCCGTGAGTGAGATCGATAGTGAGATCGATAGTGAGATCGATGTGGTGTCCCGAGGTGTCCTTTGGTGCCCCGTTCAGTGAGATCGATAGTGAGATCGATAGTGAAACCGATCGTGAGATCGAGAGGTGTCCCGCGGTGTTCCGTGGTGTCCCGTGGTGGCCCGTGGTGTCTCGTGGTGTCCCGTTGAGTGAGATCGATAGTGAGATCGATAATGAGACCGGACAATCGTCCCGTGGTGTCCCGTGTAGTCTCGTGGTGTCCCGTGAGCTCCCGCCAGACGGACGGACGGACGGGCGGGCGGGGGAGAATCATGTGTCTTGACTTCGCCCTAGCAACGGCGGACACCACGGGACATCACGGAACACTACGGGGCACCGCGGGTCACCGCGGGACACCGCGAGCCACCGCTGGACGGACGAACGGGAGCGAAACATTTGTCTTGACTTCGCCCTAGAAACGGCGGCCACCGCGGGACACCACGGGACACCACGGGACACCGCGGGACACCGCTAGGGCCACCACCGGATGGACGGACGGACGGACGGACGGGGGAGCAATATTTGTTTTGACTTCGCCCTGGCAACGGCGGGTTCATTCCTCTCGCGCTCCCACGCAGCTTCGCCTCGCCCGCACGCACGACACGAACGAAACGAAACGATTTTCCGGTCGGGGGTCTCCGTTCTACTGCGATCTCACCCCCTAACCTCCGATTGCGTGTGCGATGCATCCATGTGTGTGCAGATGTATATAATGGGGGAGGGGAAGGCGGGAGGAAGCAGGAAGCAGGGATGAGATCGGGAGGAGGGATCCGGAAGTACGGGGAAAATACGGAAGAGGAGGAGGCTGTGCGACTACTTCTTGACACTTCGCGTATCCCCACCTGTAATCTCGCGCCAATTTACATCGTACCGCGCCCCGGACGTTGTGCCCGCTCCCTGTCCCTCGCCTTGGAGCCGCGAACCAAACAAGTATCCCCACCTGCTTATCCAGAAACGATGCCCCGGCGAGTTGCCCTGATCAGATAAGTGGGGGAGCACACAGAGGAACAAAGAGCTGGAGAAACCGTCGTACACCAACAGGGGGAGGAAGGAGGAGGAATCGAAGTAGGAGGAGGAGGAAAAGGAGGAGGAGGAGGAAGAGGAAGAAGAACAGGACGAGGATGAGGAGGAGGATAAGGGTGAGCTAGGCGAGAAGGAGGAGGAGGAGGAGGAGGAGGAGGGGAAGGGGGAGGAGGGAGGAAGGAGGAAGAGGAATGTGCGGATGAGGAGGAGGAGGAGAATAAGAGGAAGAGAAATAGGAGAATGGCAAGCTTGGGGGCCAATTGGGGCGTCTTAGAAGCCTCTTGGCGGTCCCTCTAAGAGCGTCTTGGGTGCCTCGCGGAGCCTCTTGGGACCTCTCGGGGGTCTCTTGGGAGTCTCTTCGGGGCATCTTGGGGCATCCTTGGCGCCTCTTGGGGCCCTCTTGGGGCGCTCATGGGAGCCTTTGGGGCGCTCTTGGAGCCATCTTGGAGGAGATCGATCAAACAAGGGGAGGTACTGAATTAGCATTGCCCTTCCAGAGTGCCAAAATTTGTCTCTTGGACCTCTCTTGGGCCCCTCTTGGGGTGCTCTTTGGCGCTCTTCGGGCCGTCTTGGGGCACTCTGGAGCTTCTCTTGGAGCCTCTTGGAGCCATCTTGAGGCCTCGGAAGGTCGTCGACAGCAACAAGGCGAGAAGGCCACACTCAGTGATGTTCCATAGGTGTTTGAGGGTTTGGGCGGCCTCCTGGGGGAGTTCCGTGGCCACTTGGAGCCGCTTTGGAGCGGTCTTGGGGTTTCTAGGAGCATCTTGGGAGCCATTTGGAGCCATCTTTGATTCTGAGGCCATCTTGGAGCCATCTTGGGCCATCTTGGACGCTCCAGCGTCTCGCGAACCCCCCCCCCCCAGGTCCAGGGGAGGGCGTAGGGGGAGAGGTAAACCCCTCCCCGAACGGGAAGAAGGGGGTTGGAAGAAACACCGCCTCAGACCCCAGACCGCCTACGCCCAGAGGGCTGGTGGGATTGGAAGTGTTGCCCACACGCTTGTCACATCGGGCGCAACAGGGGAGGAGAGAGGAGAGAGGAGGAGGAGGAGGAGGAGGAGGAGGAGGAGGAGGAGGAGGAGGAGGAGGAGGAGGAGGAGGAGGAGGAGGAGGAGGAGCGACCAATCGCCGCATGGTCACCAGGCAAGACAGAGGCCCCTCCCACGGCTTCAACGGCCCGACGCCAGAGTCCCGAGGGCCTGGCCACCAAGGCCTGCCCAGCTCCCGCGCGGGAGCAGAGCAGACCCTGCGAGAGGAGGCTCCCCGCCCCCTCAGCTCGCAGCTTCTCGGTGCGTGAAGGCCGGAGGAGGATGGACCAGAGAGGAGAGGGCGAAAGCAGGAAGAGGTTTGAGGAGGAGGGGGGAGGGATGATGATGACGATGATGATGATGATGATGATGATGTTGCTGATGATGATGCTGATGATGATGATGCTGATGCTGATGCTGATGATGCTGATGATGATGGTGAAGATGATGATGATACTGATGATGATGATGATGATGATGATGATGATGATGATGATGATGATGATGATGATGATGATGATGATGATGATGATGATGATGATGATGATGGTGGTGGTGGGTGGTGGTGTGGTGATGATGATGATGATGATGATGATGATGATGATGATGGATGATGATGATGATGATGATGATGATGATGATGATGATGATGATGATGATGATGATGATGATGATGATGATGATGATGATGATGATGATGATGATGATGACGACGACGGACGACGGACGATGATGATGATGATGATGATGATGATGATGATGATGATGATGATGATGATGATGCTGCTGCTGATGATGATGATGATTATGATGATGATGATGATGATGATGATGATGATGATGATGATGATGATGATGATGATGATGATGATGATGATGATGATGATGATGATGATGCGGAGGAGGAGGAGGAGGAGGAGGAGGAGGAGGAGGAGGAGGAGGCGAAGGAATGTGAGGAGGAGGAAGAGGAGGAGGAGGAGGAGGGGGAGGAGGAGGGGGTCGGAAGCGGGGAAAGATTTTGTTCGGAGGATATCGGGCGGTGCCCGAAGGCTTTCAGAAGGTTTACGACGGAGGAAGGTCAAGGAGGGAGGAGGAGCCGGAGGAGGGATGAACAAACGAACAAGCCTCGGATGCCTCCGAATTGTCTGGCGACGGGCCAAGAGCACGAGCCAGGAAGGAATAAGGAAGAGGGAGAAGGAGGGAGGATCATCAGGAGGGTCAAAAAAACGCACAGGCAACAAATCGGCGATTCACTGGATCACAACGGGAAGCACAGGAAATCCGGGAAGTGGAGGGGAAGACGAGCGTGCAGGACATATGGAATAGACAGGGGATCCTGGGCTTTGTCTGTGTTTACTCATGCGTCCTTGGGCCCCCCTCGCATCAGGGTCGCAGCTGGCCCTCTTAGAGTTATCGCTGCATCCTGCGGTGTTCTGCCTGGAGGACACCCCCCCCCGGTGCGGGCCAGCCCAGTGCTCTCCTCCGCTGCGCTCCCTCGCCCTGCATGCTTCACTCTGGAGATCTCCAGAAGTCCTTCCTCCTTTCCCCCTCGCTCCTTCTCCTCCCTCCCCCTTTCCCCCCTTCGCTCCTCGTCCTCTGCCTCCTCTTCCCTCCACGTCCGCCTCCTCCTCATCCCCTTCCTCCTCCCCCATCCCTCTTCCTCCATCATCCCTCCTCGTCTCCCTCCCGTCTCCTTCCACCTTCCCTTCCCCTCCTCTTGGAGTAGCTGGTGCCGCCGGCGTTCACCCGAGCAGCTCCTCCCAAGAGAGCCCCCCTGGAGGCCTCCAGATCCAGACCCCCGACGTCATACTTTCTCTTGTTTTTCACAACGTCGACCCCCAAAGGTCTCGACCCATTCCCCAAGACTCGTTTTTCATCCTGGGTCGTGTTCTGACGGCCCCGAGGCCCAGCGAGGGCCCCCAGAGGCCGAAAACTGCAGAAAGCACCGTCGGCTGTGGACCCGTGCGCGACGCGAGGAGGTCTGGGGATGCCCCGAGAGGAAAGGCACGGAGAACGGCGGTCGTCGACCCTCCCCTTGCCGACCCCTCCCCTCCGAGAGGGCCGCGAACCTCGCCCCAGCGCTCCCGCGCGCGCGCGCCGAGAGGACGGGGCTGCTCAGGGTCGAGACTCCGGGGCAGTACAGGCTCCGTCCCCGTTCTCGTCTTCCGTTCGCCGCCGCTCTCCTCCTCCTCCTCCTCCTCCTCCTCCTCCTCCTCCTCCTCCTCCTCCTCCTCTTCCTCCTGGTTTGTACTTCGTTCGAGATTGCCGCACGGTGGTGGGGGAAGGGCCGCAATCCATTGCCATTTAGGCCCCGCAGGCTTCGCGCTGAGGGCTGGAGCCGGGCAATGCAGGCTGGACTGGGGGCGCTGGCGCACGACCTGAGCCAGGCGTTCACCACGGCTCTGGTGGTGCGTGCGTGCACGCCGACCTACCCCGACTGCTACTGCGCCCCGCAGCTTGGGTGCCCACCCCACGCCTGCTCCTGCCCCGGCGGCGAGGGCATCGTCTCGGCCGCGGAGAGCAGCGGCTTCACCGGCGTGCAGCTCGCCGTGGTGGCGGGGCTCGCGCTGGTCAGCGGGGCGGCGCTCGGGGCCGCCGCGGCGCTGTGGGCCACACTCCCGCGGGCGCCTGCGAGCGCGGCGGTGGTGGCGCCAGCCGCGGTCTCGCCCCCGCAGGCGGCGCTGACGGACGTGCGGGCGGCGGCGGCTGAGCAAGCGCGCGCCTTGCGCCGTGCGGCGCCACCGCCGACGGCGTGATGGCGGCGGCCGTGGTCGTCGGCGGGTTCCACCTCGCGCACTACAACGTGGCGGGCGTGGCGGTTTACCACGAGAGGCTGAACCTGTATACCACGGGGTACGTGCTCACGCCGGACCTCGAACACTGGGAGGAAGCGACGGCTCCTGACGCGGATGTCTGCAGCGTCCAGTTCACAGCTGGCCAAGGGGGGCGCGTGGGCGGCGTGCCGGAGGGCCAGACCCTCCGCTTCGAGCAGATCCCGTCGGCGGCGGTGGTCTGGGCGGCTCTGCGACGCGGAGCGGCCGCTGGTCTCGGCGTGCTGCCGAACTCTCCGTTCATGCTGCAGCTCTCGGCCGCAGGCTGCGCCGGCTTGCTGGCGGGCCCCTACGCCATCGCCGACCCCGCGGCCCCGCTGCCCGCCCCCGCCGCTGGAAGAGGCGCTCTGGCGGCTGCTGTTGGTGCGCTGCCGCCCGCTGCCGCTGCGCCCGCGGTTCCCGCACCCGTCGCGCCAGCGGCGGCTCTGCGGCCCGCCATCCCCGACAGCGCCCCCGCGGCCCCGCTGCCCAGCGGGGAGGCCGCGCCTGGCTGGGCGTGGATCGCCGCCGAGGACGTGGACGGCAGCGTCACCATCGGGGAGCCGATGCTGGTGGGCGTGGCTGGTGGGGCCACGCTCGTGGCGCGCGTGGGGCGGCGGGGGCTGTTCATTTGCCAGGTGGCGGAGGCGCTGCAGGGGTGCTGCTCGAGGTGGCGGACGTGGCCTACTCCAGGCAGGAGTTCAGAGGCAACGATGCGAGGACGCTGGATGTGCCGACGGCGCCTGCTGGAGCTGGGCCCCCCGCGCTGGACTGGCGCGAGGTCGTGCAGATGTGCCGCGAGGAGGTGCTGCCGGACTTCGCCGTGCCGGCCCCGCGCGCCGCCGCTTGGTGCGCCAGGTACCAGGTCAAGGACGGCGGGCCGATGCTGCACCACGATATGTGGCGCATTCGGCGCAAGCTCACGGCCGCGGATTTCGGGGTGGACATGCATGACACGTTGTCCAGGATGCCGGAGGCTATGGGTGGGCCAGACCACCTCGACGTGTTCAACCTCGCGAGCGCGGAGATAGGCTACAGGAAGCTCCAGCTCATCGAGCACTACTGGGACGACCGCAGCGCCGAGTAGCAGCAGCAGCAGCAGCAGCAGCAGCAGCAGCAGCAACACAATAGCAAGATGCCGCTGGAAGAGTCGCAGCCCTTCATTGACGGCATGCTTGGGCTTGACGTGTGCGCGATCGCGGGCGCACACTGGGCCACTGACCGCCAGATGCCGCTCAACGTCGACGATGAGCGCCTTTGCCCGAGGTGCAATGTGGAGGTAGAGGCTTTGGAGCATCGCATATGTCAGGAGGGAACAAAAACACACAGACACAATTAATCGTCGATTCCCCAGAAAATATGGGAAAATATGGGAAGTGGGGGGGGAAACGAAAACCCAGAACATATGGGAAAACATGGGGAATCTTTTTATGTGTGTGTATTTCTTTGTGTGTCCAAGACCCGGGCCCCTTCAATATGGCGGTGCCCTTGCAATCAAGACCATCCAGAATACGCAACCACCGATCGCCGCATTCCCCAAGCTCTGGCGCCTCTGGGTTCTGAGCCGTGCCTGTGGCTCCGCGGTGTTCCGCCAGCTCGCTTCACGCATCATGTCTGTGGGGAGCCTCCAGGTGAGCTAAGCAGAGCCCATGTTGGTCCTTGGAGCCTCCGCGAGTGCTCCAGAGCTTTAGGTTCCGAGCCTCTTCCGTGATTTGGGGACGATCCTCGGTGCCGCCGCTGCGGCTCGTCCGCTGTAGGCATCCGCGAAGCTGGCCCTGAAGAAGGTCCTCGTCAAGTTGGTCGTTCGAGGAGGCCTTCCGTCGAGGAGGCCTTCCGGAAACTTCGAGAGGTCCCGTGCTGACGCTGCCCCGTCCAGAGCTCCAGGCTGTCGCGCTCTTCCTGCAAGAGGCATCGTGGCCCGTTGTCTTCGTGACCGATCATAGAGTTCTGGGGGTTGGGTGGCGGCGGGGTCCACCTTGGAGCCTGGGGGGACGGATCAGCGACTTGTGGCTTCAAGTTCGGTGTGCCCCCAACGCTGGAGGGCCAGACTCGGTCGATGTTGAGTGGACCCAGTCTCGCATTTCCTCTGGCGGCCCAGGGCTTTCAGAGTGCGGCGTGTTCCTGGCAAGCGGTAGTCGGCTGGCCGACGAGGCTGCAGGCGAGTCAGCCGCGCGCTCGTGGACCCGTTCTCCCCAGCATGGCCTGCCCACTGATGCTTGGGGCGTCGCTGCGGCGTTACAATACGGTGGGGGCGTTCGTAAAGGAACGTGCCCAGGAGGCTTCAGACCCTGGAGGGTTACTTATCTGATGAGGGCGGCGGTGATGTCCATGGCCAATCCGCGATTGGCTTTCCACTGGTTTCCAGACCCTGGATTCCTTATCGAAGGTTTCCTTATCCAATGCCATCACCGTAGTGAGGCGCAGAGCCCGAAGGGCACCAGCCGACGCTGCTCTGGCGGACCCGGAGAGGTCCTAGGGCCTACCAGAGCAACGTTACTGGGCCACGCACGCGTTTGAGAGGACGGCCAAAGTCAGCGCTCACACGACCCAGGTTGCTGGATCCGCCTTCCCCGGTCTGAGGTGCGCCCTGGTGTCTCGGAAGAGAGGCCTGCTCGAGGCCTTGCACTCAGAATGCGTTTCGCCTGATGTCGAGCTTGTCGGTTCCCCTCGGGACGCGGTCTTGGCCGCGAGGGGCCCCGTGGTTGTTGGCGGCCAGGCTCTCGACCCGTCCCACAGACTGGCCTCTCGGGGCCTGCACTCGCTTAGAACGTTGCGGTCGCGTCGCGGCCGTCTACGGTTGCCGATGACAAGATGCTTGGCAACCAGCCCTTCACGAAAGGGCTGGTCCATTTGTCTACTATCCGACAGAGCCTTCACCCACCTCGGGCCCGTCTCGCGCACGTCCCCTCATGGGCGGCGGGGACGCATGCATCCCGCCGCATGGGCGGCGGGGACGCACGTCCAGGCTGCGCAGCCTGGACGCACGTCCCCGCATGCGCAGCCTGGACGCACGTCCCCGCATGGGCGGCGGGGACGCACGTCCAGGCTGCACATGCATGCGTCCCCGCCGCCCGTCTCGCGCGCTGTCCCTTGCTACTCGGGCCCGTCTCGCGCACGTCGAGACCTCGCTCGTGCCCGACTTGTGCCAACCGCCGCCGCTGAGGCGGCCATCGCGGCCCAGCCGGCCCACAGGGAGCGACGCGCGCCACCCTCCCCACCTCTGGTGGCGCCCCTCTCTGCCCCTTTGAGGGCCGAGATGGCCGGGGGGGTCCCCAGCGGGAACCTCCGGGTGGCGGGCCTGTCTCTCCTCTCCTCCCCTCCTCGCTCCCACGCACGCGGTGCCTCGCAGAGCGTCCCCCACAACGTCCTGCACCTCCTCCTCCTCCTCCTCCTCCTCCTCCTCCTCCTCCTCCTCCTCCTCCTCCTCCTCCTCCTCCACCCATTTTCTTCTCTCCTATTTCTCAAGCCGCAGTCTCTTTTTCTCCAGTGTCCTACTCTTTCCTCCACGTGCGCCGTGTGCGCCACGTGCGCGACGCCCGAAGAGTGCGCCAGGTGTGCCAGGACACATGGCAGCACGAACCTACGTCACACTGGCAAGTGGCGGCGGGGTGGTCAGCATGGTGCATGGCGGGCGCGCGCCCAGTCAATTCGCATCTGTTCGCATGGATGGTGGGCGAGCGCACAGCGGAGGAAAACGATAACGCACCCACCCTCCTTGCCAACATGCTTGAGGGTTGCCTGGTCATGATCAATAGAGAGTGCCACAATGCGATTTCTGTTGTTCTTTAACGGCCGATGTGTGGTTGTGTGTGTGTGCGCGTGGGGTGCCATTGTTATTGGTTAGCGACCTGTCGAGAGGGGGAGGAGAATTTGGCCAACCGGTAGCAGTGAGAAGTCGTCCCCGAAGCGGACGGCGCTGGTTTTTTGAACAGGTTCCCCACTAGACCCCCTGCGCCCAGAGGGCTGGTGCGGTTTGGCAGCCATGCGTTCACCTTGGCCAGTGTGGACAAGCTGGGGAACCCGAGGTCCACGGCTTAACAGTCGGCCTGCACCAAGCAGAGCGGCACCAACCTTGGCGGCCTCGAAGTCGACCTGGCCAAGTTGAAGAAATCGGAGGGCCAGGCCCGAGGGTCGACGGACCTTCCGAACACGCCGGAGCTGCAGCCGGAGAGCCGACTGGAGAGCCTGGCGGCCTCCCTGAGCGTGGGGCCGCCGCGCGTGTGGACACGACCCGGCCTCGGGGCAGGACCTGCCGCTCGTGGCCTGCAGGCCCACGGGCTGGGAGGAGCAGCTCGGGGAGCAGATCCCGAGCGCCTCGGGATCCATGCGGGTGCCGTGCGGGGCCCCGTCTCCGGAGCCAGGGGGCGCAGGACCCGGCCCCAGCGCCCCGATGGCCAGGCTGCCGCCCCGCCTTCCTCCTGCTCGGTGGCCAGGCGCGGCAGCGACGACGGGCAGCGGGCCCGAAGGAGGAGTCGAGGGGTCGGCCTGCGGACCAGGGCTGGCGCATTCTGGCGGCTGCCCTCTGCCCCTGGTGGGGCGGAGGCGCGGCCTGGCCGAGGTCAGGCTGCGCGGTCTGACGTGGGCAGCGGCGCTGGTCCCCGCCGAGCACTGCCCTGGTCTGGTTGTGATGGGTGGGCGGTGTTCGCCATTCGGGTTTAAGGTCCTCCCCCCCGTCCCCCATGGCTGGGTGGCACCGTCGATAGCTCCGCACCGTCGATAGCACCGTCGATAGCTCCGCACCCGCATCCGCATCCTCCTGTTTCCCCTACGCCTCGCCCTCCTCTCCTTACCATCCCTCCTCCACCCCGCTCTTGCGTCCTCTCTTTTTCTCGTTGTCTTCTCTGCCCGCCGCGTCCGCATCGTTATCCTTTTCCCATTTCCTCCTTTACGTCCTCGTTTCCCTCCTCGTTTACATCCTAGTTCGTCCTCCAACTTGTTTCTCCTCTCTTCACCTCCTCGTTTACATCATCGTTGCATCCTCGGTTCCACTCTTATGTTGTTCGCCCTCCTCTGCAAGGAGTATTCATTGACACCGCCTGTCTGGCATTTCGTGCATGCAACGTTTCCTCAGACGAATGCGGACAAGCGGACTCATGACCTTGCTTGGTTGCGATGAACTGCGAGGGGGAAACAAAGTCACCATCCTCCGACCTTCTCCTCTCCTCGCCGTCTTCCTCCAGCCACTTCTCAGCTCAGTATCCACCATCTGGTCCTCCTCTTCCTCTTCCTCCATGGCTGTTTCCCTTTTTTCCTCCGTCCGCCTCCACTCTCTCCTCAATGTTCTCCCCCGTGTCTTTCCTTCATCCGCTTCCTCCTCCTGTTTCCGTTGTTTCACATCCTTTTGTTTTCATCCATCCACAACTTCTCCTGCTACATCTCCTCGTCCCTCTCCTTGTAGTTTGAGTTTGTGCTGCTGCTTATTCCCCCCCCTTTCGTTGTCCGCCTTCCTCCCCTCCTCCCCGTCATCCTTCTCAGCTTTCCTGCTTATCTGTCTCATCATCTTTCCTCCTCGCCCCTCCCTCTTCTCCATCATCTGCCACCCAATCTGCCATCCACCTCAATCGCCATCCCCCCTCTGCCGTCCATCTCCTACATTGCCGTCCGCATCATCCCTTGCCATTCATCACCCTCCGCCAATGCTGCCGATGATCGACCTTCTCTGCCCCTCATGCCAGGCGGTGGAGGCCTCCTTCTGCTCCTTCGCCCCTGTTGCTGAGGTTCTGGACCTGCCCCCCCCCCCCCCCAAGACTTGTCGCTGGTGCCTGGAGCTCTCGACCCCTTCCCCTGGGCAGCTTTTTACGGCCCTGGGGCCCAAAAAGCGTCCCTGAACACTGGAAGCAGCGGAACGCCTCCGCCGTGATGTTTTTTTTAAGACGTTGGCGGTCGAAGCTTTGGGCGCCAAAGGTTGGCCCCTTAACCCTTGGTGGGGAGCCCCCAGGAGGGCAGTGAGAGTGAGCAGGCCTTCTCACAGGGCGCGAGGGCTTCTGAGGAGCCCCGCTGCCTTCTGAACTTCTGGGAAGGCTGGCTCACTCTCACTTCCCCCCCCTGGGCTCGCTGCCGGAGTGGCAAGTAAGTTTGTCTATCAGC